TTATTCGTTTTCAGAGTTTGTTTTTGTCCTTGCTCTCGAATACCTCCTGTCCTTCCTCCATGCCCGGCGAAGCCGCTATTATCATCCTTGGCTGCGCCACGGGCGCTGCCGGGGATGCCGGGGCGGACTCCTCTTCGGAGGATTCGTCCCCCCCTCCAGCTGCCGCCGCGCCGAGCGCCGCGGCCGGGCCCGTCTCGCCCGCGACTATGCCCGGCGCCAGGGCATTAGACCCTCCTGTCGGCGGCACGCCCGCCGCCTGATTCCCTGACATTTATCCACCCCCCCCAAAAAAAAGAAGATTTTCCTGGGGTGCGCTCAGGCGCACAATAATAGAAGAGGATGTCAGCGACAGACGATCATTCGTACTCGAGTACGAGATATATCTTCTGTTTCTCTCCTCTGTCTCCTGAATATCCTGGCTGATATATCCTGGCGGCTATATCACCTGCACATATAGCCGCCAGCATATATCAGCCAGGATATTCAGGATACAGAGGAGAGAGACGAGCAAACGGCCGTCGCGGACATCCTCTTCTATTATTGTGCGCCTGTAGCGCGCCCAGGAAAGTCTTCTTGTGGATGTAACGAGATAGTAAACTAACTTGAACGTCAAGTTGATGTAGGGTTATCGCTGTCTATAAGACTTAAAGCTGGATTAGAATGAAGTAAGGAAGGGCAGGGAAGCTAGTAGGATGCGCAGTAGGGGTAAAGTGCATTGCAACATCAAGATGCAGTTCAAGATCTCTCTATCTCTCTACGTGTATCTATCTAAAGGCAGGAGAATGAGCATCCCCAAACAACAGCTGATGTCTGCGTTGAGGAACCCCAAGCCCCCCCGCCTCCGTCGACTTCATCAGCTCTAATCCTCAAGCAACCGACAACTATCGGCATGTAATGTCGCCCTTTACGACGAGGGCTGCGTCATTGTCCCTGCACCCGCGCTTAGATGCCCGGATGGTTGCTGGGGAGAGATTGGAATATCTGCTAGTAAGCACTCACGATCCGCGACTGAAAGGTGATATTGGGTTATCAATCGTTGGCCCCGACTCGCATGAGCAGAACACGACCTCCGTTGGGCAACTTGAGCGAGGATCGGCGATCTTCATGGAGTTGGGAGCACCTCAGTTATTGTGCGCCGGGCCTTGCTGGCTGCGGACAGACTTCGTGCCGTCATTGAACTGCTCGGCAGGTGGTGCACTGTGCTCGTGCAACTACTCAGAGCTTATCGCTGTAATTCCAGGACATCCTGGACATTTAAAGCTGGGACCATCCCCTCGAGCTCCCCGCAAGTTCCAACGCTTGGACCATCATGCTGTGGCGTGCACGACGGACAAGTTTGGAAATCTAGTCAAAGGTAACTGGAAAATGCTCCTTCAGGTTGTCGGCTTTGGCTGGTCACGGAGCTTTCCACGGCAATGCTTCGGGGGCTACACAGATATGTGGATCGCGGGTGTTCAAGTTCCGGAGTGTGGTGAGTATGAATGTGCTGCGACGTTACATTTGGATAACATCACGATTGACTCTCCGGGAATGTGGGTCTTGATGGACTTGCCTAGGGAGCCTGGTCATGTCATCAAATCATGTATCCAGCAAGATCCGGCGGTCGGTGTCATGTATCCAGCAAGGGTCGCCAAAACCCTTGGGGGCATGGAATCACATTCTTTCTTCACTGTGTCGTCAGCGAAACTCACAGCGTTGCAACGAAACACTGCCACAGCGGAAATACGATCCTTTTCGTCTGATGGACTGGTTTTGGAACTCGAAGACTTCGGCGTTCGAGAATTAGACAATTGTTTAGAACAAAACTATGTGTGTACCGGTAGTGACTGCACTATACGACTTCTTTCTGATAGACTGGCTTTTGACTGTTCATCAGAATATCACACGATTGAGAAATGCACGGCAGCATGTCATTGCTACCGCCGCACTTTGAGCCTACCTGCCAATGATACACGCAGACTAGGACTAGCAGTTTTACTCGCCGGAGTGGATACGGGCAAAACAAAGAGGGTCCCCAGCCGTGAGGTGCTGGTTCGCAGGATACGCAGAGTACTGACCGATCATCACATTCAATTTGGGGAGCACTGTACGCAAATAAGTGAGTGTGGAAGCGTTAAAAGAAGATTAAAGCTCACGAATATTTTGCGAAGCCCTCGTGGTGGAGTTGACCCCAGACATAGTGATTTCATGCTCCGATATGCGTTCCGAGCCGCGTTCCATAGTCGTCCACAAATTATTCAAGGGTATTCTAGGTTTGTCATCGCACTTCGACCAGCGGATTTGCAGGGGGGGGGGGGGGCGAGAAGTCCGAAGATGAGCCTCCTAAAAGGTCTGCTCGATTTGGAGGCTCGGCGACACACGGCAAGACATAAAATGACAATCCAGGTCCTCGTCGATAACTTTAATTTTGCGTCATGTGTGCAAGACCTTGGCTAGCGATCCGCGCGGGTAACGTTGTTTCACTCATGATTTTGGGAGATGCGCATGACGTTACGTTCTTGCAGAAGTTGCTTCATCATAGGCCTTGAGACGAGTTCCTATCCGCTTTCATTCATCGAACAAGGCAGGAGGATTAGTCTCCAGAGTAATCATTGCAGTTCATTGGGGGTCTGCACAGTACTGTTGTTCCAAGACCCATTTGCAATTGCCGTGTTTTGCGGGTTCGTGTCTCTACACACAGGCGCCCATGTCACAGCAAATGACTTCAGTTCAATGCAGGCGAACACCAAGACACCGACAGTGTCTGTCGAAATTCCTACTGATAAGTGTGCTAAATGCGCTGTGACGCTGCACTTAAAACTTTTGATTGGACCCAAAGACTCTGACCCAACCGCACTTGCCAGTGAGTTCCATGATCCCACCTCGGATGAGGGATTCGATCTTCCATCATTTCCGAGGGCGGCACATAGCACCATCATGATGCTGGCTATATAGAAGTGCCATTTGGACTTAAAACGCGCGCGCCCTTTGTGACGACTGGTTTTAGCGGCAATAGACATGTGCGCACCTCTGGGGCCTCGTGAACATCGCGCACGCCTTCGTTCCTTCGTGGGTTACACCTCAATAGCCCAATTCACCTTTCCCCACTGTGCTCCTTGCGCATCCTGCTCGTACCTCCTCCGTTCCTTAATACACTCAGCCAGTTCCGCTTCCGGGTCGTACTATTAGCCGCCCCCCCTGTAGCGAGATAGTAAACTAAGGGGCAGGGGTGCCCCTCCCCAGTGCCAAAAACAAACCCTTGAAACGAAAGGCCTGGGGGTTTGTATCTTGAAGTTCAACACAAAAAGTTGCCAAGCTCAACATACAAGTTGAAGTTAGGGGGTCGTAAACCGCTTGAAAGTGGGGTCATTTCGCCGAGACTGGCGTTGTGAGTGCGGTACCTTCGTACATTTTGAGACACTCGGGCGTGAGGATCGTTTTTCGCGAAAAGTTGACTTTCAGCCCGCGCTAGACCCGCGTGCGCGCGCACGCGCGGCAAATTCTCAGGAGGTGTAGTACACGTCCCGCCCGCCGCCGGCGGGAAACAATAAATAATTATTATTTATTTAATTCGAGTGGGCCGGCCTAGGCGTACGTTGTTTTTGGCACTGCCCCTCCCAAACCTCCCTCAAAACCTGCCCTTCCCTTTAGCATGCTAACGACACACTGGTTGGATATGAATGGTCCGCTGTGATGTCTATCACCAAAAAAGTCGCAAGAAGAAAGAAAGACAGACATATGATTGCCGAGGTCAAGTGGGGCCCGAAAGACAAGAGGAACGTGGACCTCTCCGACGGGAAGAAATACCTGATAGACTGGGTCCTCCTCACCGAAACCTACGACGCACCTGCGCAAAAGAAGCCCGCAAAGAAGCGCAAAATCGCGCAAACCGGGGGCCCCGCGCAGAAGAAGTAACTAGCCTCTAACTCGCTACTTTTATAGCTCCAAACTTGCATAGACCAGTGTGGGAAACAAAGTCGCTCCAACAATTACCTGGTATTTATATCTTCAACAAAAAAGTAAACATTGCACAGCAACTTGAAGATACGCTACACGCTTGCCGACCCGAACCAGCGACCCGCACTCTCAAACTTCCTTGATGAATACGGTTAGCGCGCAAACTTGCCTTACCATCTTCGGCGTGGCCATAATTCGCCAATTTTGCCTCTGGCCCTGCGGCTTGGCCGCACGCGCGGCCGATTTTCAGGAGGTGTAGTACACGTCCCGCCCGCCGCCGGCGGGAAACAATAATTAAATATTAATTATTTAATTCGAGTGGGCGCGCCTAGGCGTACGTTGTTTCCCACACTGGCATAGACGCGTTTCCGCGGACCGCGCGCGGTGTGCCGGCACACCGGAATGTGCCGGCACAAGCCGGATTCGACTGTGCCGGCACACCCCGGGGAGGCCGTCTCTGCGCCGGCGCGGCTACCGGCACAGCGAGCTCGTTTGCTTTCCACCTTGAGCCACACCCCCAGGGCGTCCTTTGGAGGTTTGCCATAGCGCGGTCTCTCCCCCGGTGGTTCGGTGGGGTCGTCGGAGTATGCTGACTGCAACTTTCCGTGTCTTTCGCAGGCCACAGCGTCCCAAGGACGACGCCGTTGTAAAATGTCGGAGTCGCTATCGACGCCTTCAAGTTTCAGGGCCCTCGCGATTTCCGGGCCCTTGCTTGTACAGCATAAATCATGTTCAGAACATGGTCCCTGCGAGAGTAATCTGCGATCTCAATGCATTCTCTTCCGATGAGCAGGCGTTTGGAAAATCCCTACCTCGAAAACAAGTGGCAACTCCTTCCACATTTCCTCAGACTTATGAACCAACATATAGCTTCCTTTGACTACTTCATCGAGACAGAGATAAAGAAAGTTGTCGCCGCAGAGCGTGACGGCGTTCTAAAAGAGATCAGATCAAATAAATGATAAAAAATCCAATCATTGTAGGAGCCAAATCACACAGTGCGCTCAGAGGTTGACCCCAATTTTTATTTGTCGTATACCGATGTTTATGTCGGGGTACCTTCCATCGAAGAGGATGCTTTCACGAGCACCGCGGCGACACCCTTTGAGTGTCGGTTACGGGATTGTACTTATAGCGCCCCGATCTTCGTTGATGTGAGGTACCGTCGTGGACCGCAAATCGTGACCACAAAGAGGGTTCCGATAGGACGCATCCCAATTATGCTGCGATCGAGCCAATGCGTTTTGCACAATAAATCATGGTCGCAACTTGAAGCACTAAAAGAATGTCCTCACGATCCAGGAGGTTATTTCGTTGTCAAGGGTGTTGAGAAAGTCATATTGATGCAAGAACAGCTCTCCAAAAACCGAATGATTATCGAGCTCGACGCAAAAGGATTTGTGTGTGCAACTATCACAAGCTCGACTCACGAGCGCAAGAGTAGATGCTCTATCGTTGTCAAGCCAACCACACATGGGCATCGAGTCTACCTCAAGCACAACACCCTTGGTGACGATATACCAGTGGTAGTCATACTCAAGGCAATGGGAATGGAATCGGACCAAGAGATTGCAGAACTTGTTTCATCTGCAGACCTTAAGATCGCTGATATTTTTGTGAATTCAATGGAAGAGCCGTGCGCCGCTCACGTGAAGACTCAGAAGCAGGCTCTCGAGTACGTTGGGCAAGCGATCAGAGCCAAGCAAAAAGCGCAATCAGTCGATGGCTCACGCTCCCAGTACCTCCCTCACTCACGCCGGCCCGTTTCTATAGAGGATGAGGCTCGTGAAGTTCTCGCCCATGTTGTTCTCTCCCACGTACCGGTAGAAGACTATGACTTTGTAGCAAAACGTACCTATATTGGTCATGTTACAAGGCGTGTGCTCGCGGCATCGTTGGACAATTCACTGTTAGACGACAAAGACTATTACGGGAATAAGCGGCTTGAGCTTGCCGGTCAACTTTTGAGCCTCCTATTTGAAGACCTCTTCAAGCGTTTCAACGCCGACCTCAAGCGGTCAGCAGATCTTGTCCTGCAAAAGCAAAACCGCACTGCTGTCTTTGATATTGTCAAATCAACAGTCTGGCGCACTGACACTATCTCTCAAGGCTTTGTTCACGCTATATCCACAGGAAATTGGGTGCTGAAGCGATTCAAAATGGATCGCGCAGGAGTCACCCAGGTTTTATCACGCCTATCGTACGTTTCCGCCATTGGTATGATGACACGCGTGAATTCCCAGTTTGAAAAGACGCGCAAGACATCAGGCCCCCGTGCATTGCAACTCTCCCAGTGGGGCATGCTTTGTCCCGCCGACACACCCGAGGGTGAGACTTGCGGCCTCGTAAAGAATCTTGCACTTCTTGCACATGTGACAACAGATGCGGAAGTTGAGAAAACAAAGCGTTCATGCTTTGATTTGGGAGTTGAACAACTGGGCTATCTAAACGGTGCTGAACTTAATTCGCATCCTGGCGCATATCTTGTCTTCCTCAATGGTCTTGTAATTGGAGCCTGTCGGAGACCACACAAGTTAGCACGGGGACTGCGATGCATGAGACGTTCAAAGAGAATAGGCGAATTTGTGTCAGTCTACACGCACACGGTTCATCGGGCAATTTACGTCGCCTGCGACGGTGGACGTGTGTGCCGGCCATTGATAATTGCGACGCACGGACATTCGCGATTAACCGCGGCTCAACTCGCAACTGCCTTTGCAAAAACTTATCCCAATTCCAATAGCCAATCAAAGAACGATGGAGATCCTAATCGGTTACAATCTCATGCATCAACGCAATCTGTTGGTACTTTAGACCACCTTACTACGGTAGGAATTATTGAATACGTCGATGTCAATGAAGAGAACAATTGTTTCATTGCATTAGACGAGCGTGAACTCACACCACGCCACACACATGTCGAAATCGACCCAGTGACAATTCTAGGTATTGTGTCCGGCCTAGTTGCATTTCCACATCACAATCAGTCACCGCGAAACACTTATCAATGTGCTATGGGGAAACAAGCAATGGGCTCCGTTGCAACAAATCAGTACGAACGCATGGACTCACTCTTGTATTCTCTCGTCTATCCGCAGAAACCCATGGTGAAAAGCCGCGTTCTTGACCTTGTTCACTTTGACGCTCTTCCGGGAGGATGTAATGCAACCCTAGCAGTCATGTCTTACTCTGGCTATGACATTGAAGACGCAATAGTACTTAACAGGGCATCACTTGATAGAGGGTTCATGCGATGTCTTGTGATCAAGCGGCACCAAGTCTCAATCAGGCGATATGCGAATGGGGCCTGCGATCGCACGACTGGCCCACCATCAATAGAACTATTCCTACAAGGTTATGTGTTTGTCTCACTTCGCCTCTCACTTAAATTGCAAAGGTGCTGATGACGCACGGTACAAGCGCTATTCCGCTCTTGATAATGACGGTATCTGTCGTGTCGGTGAGAAGCTGCATGACCAGTCCATAATGATCAATCGTGAGATGCCAGTCGAAGATCGCGATGAACTCACACCAGCGCTACCAGGTCGAGTCAGTGCGTTTGTTGTTCTGCAGTAAGTAATCACCACGCAACAATGCAAACAGGCCGCACTGGCCGTGCACGGTCATTAACCAAAACTGCGTCTATGTCATACAAAGCACAGCCATGCACGTTCGTACTTGTGTTGTTCTGTCGTATCTTTAATCCTGTGATGATTTGCAGCTACAAATCTCCCGCACCGAGTGTTGTGGATCGCGTTCTTCTAACTGCCAATGAAACAGATCAATTTCTTGTCAAGGTTATGGTAAGGCAATGCCGGCGCCCAGAGGTTGGAGATAAGTATATACCAGAGCTCATTCCTGGCATGTGTCTCGAAACTATCAAAACCTGCAGGTTTGCAAGCCGCCATGGCCAAAAGGGTGTTTGTGGTGCAATTGTATCACAGGTGCTAATTACAATCAACGGTACCCCGAAACGAAATGCCTCATCTCATGTTTTATGTAGGAGGATATGCCATTTTCCGATACCGGTGTATGTCCTGATGTGATTATGAATCCCCATGGGTTCCCCAGTCGAATGACTGTTGGAAAAATCATTGAGCTCGTCTATAATCCAGCGCTTGCCTGCATTAGACATGCTAGAATCCAGTTAGAATCATGACTCTTCTGGCAAATTACCTGAAAACAGGTTGCTGGCAAGTGTGGTGTGTGCTCCGGCCGTCAAGCATACGGGACTGCTTTTGGTGAAAAAACTGGCTCTGCGGATTGCGCTAGGTAATTGCCTATTCAGCCAATTCTTGGATTAGTTGAAGCACATTTTCCATAGCGAAGCGTCGTGTACCCTCCTCAAACATGGGTTCTCCTATATTGGGAAAGACATGCTGTACTCTGGCATTTCAGGAGAGCCACTGAGAGTGTATGTTTTCATGGGCCCAGTCTTTTACCAAAAGCTGAAACACATGGTAATGGACAAGATGCACGCTCGCGCGCACAACGCGGTGCCGGGACGATACAATTCTCGTTATAAACTAAGCAAATGATAACACAGGCGCGGTCCTCGAGCACAGAATACTGCAGTGTCAATCGCGCTAGCACTTCTTAGAAAAAGGAGAAGAGTGACTAGCCGACACCGTTTATAATGAATTGCACACTCAAATTCACAGGCTCACGCGACAACCCACGGAAGGGTGAATCCGTGTTATGTCTTGAGTTTTCTTCGAGTTTTTCTCGCAGGCGTTCTCGTGATGGTGGTCTTCGCCTTGGTGAGTGCAAGTGTCGCAGCTCACACCGTGAAATGTACCGCCAACGACTAGGTGAGATGGAGCGCGACTGTTTGATTTCATATGGTGCAGCAAACTTGATAACAGAAAGACTAATGATTTCGTCTGATCAATTTGATGTGCATGTCTGCGAGGGATGTGGTCTGCTTGGATATTCAACAGTTCTACTACTGCCGAGTCTAAGGGGCCTTTTTGTGATGTTTTCATGAAAGTCCACGAATTCAGGCGCAAAACACGGAGCGAATCGATAGCACATTTACGAGCTGGTGTCAGAACTGCCGGTCAAACGAACAGATGGCTCGCATTTGTATCCCCTACGCCTGCAAACTTCTATTTCAAGGTGCTGAGTGTCACAGGGATCATCCTTGAAAAGAACTGATATGCGCAGAGCTTCAGAGTATGAACGTCACACCGCGGCTAAAACTTGAAGACATGTAAGAGCCCAGTTTCGGCCTCAGGCTGGGCATTGCCGTAGGTTGGGCGCGTCGACGGCCCCAGTAAACAATGGGCCGGTTTCGTCGTGCAGAGCCCTCGTACCAAATAAGTTGCCAAAAGTCACAGAGACTGCTGACACGCCGCTCTGACACGCAGCCGGCGCGCAGCCCATGGGCCAGCTTGAGTTAACTAGAAAGAAACCCAACGAAGCTGAGTTTGCGACTTGGCCCGGGCCAGGGACGAGATCTAAAATAAAAATAAATCAATAAAAATACCAACAAAAACCCTTGTTTTGAAGACCAGCCACCGAAACATAGCAAAAAAAATCGGCCGGCCTTCGGCCAGCATGAGGTCTCAGGAGGGCTGGCCTTCGGCCAGCAGAAAAAACAATTAAATGTAGCGCGCCTTTATGTCGCTACTTGTGGTCGGATCGCGTCCCTGTCAATGGCCCCCCTCTTAGTCGCCCTTAAGTACGCCACGCTTTAGACTAGCACTTCAAGGGGAGACAAATCGATCTGCCGACGCCGATGTCCCTGCGAAATAATCACAGCGCCGTCGCGCTGGATTATTTAATCTACGTCGGCTAGAAGGGACGCCGGAGGCTGGCCGGCGCCGGCAACCTGCGCGCCGATTTAATTCCATTTAAAATCAACCATAGCCATTGAATTTCGTCAACATTGACGACAACGATACCTCGACAGCCCGGTCCGCATCGCATCTCCGCATCGCTGCGCTCGACGACGGGATGCTTCGCGAACTGTTGGACGTCCAGAGCTCCGCGAATATGAAGGGACGTGCAACGATCCCAGTGGCTTCGAGGTCCGCAAACATGTGGGCGAGGCACCTGCGAAGACGCGACACCCAAACGATTGCGAGGTGGCGCAAACGGGCAGCTTCAGGGGGTGCAGTGAGGCTCGGCAGCTTCCCCCGACCCAATTTCGGGTCGCTTTCGAGCCACAGAGCGTCGGGAATCGTTCGTCATGGGGGCGACCAGATGCCCTCGCGACAGCTCCTCGGCTCGAGTCGATTTGATCGAGATCATCTCAGCGCCTCCGACGGGCGCGCGGCGCCGCGGGTGACACGGTGCTCACCGCGCAATGAATCAGACGTTCGGTGCGCCAGTGCTAAGCAGAGACCTCCGGGAAAACATTCCAGGGGTGGCTTACCCAGGGTCTAGCGCGCCGCTCGACCCCTGGAACTAAGTTGGGCCCCTCGTCGGTCGCCCACCATCGTTAACGGCCGTTCTCGTCATCCACGGGCTGCCCCGACGCGAACCAAGTTGCTCGCCATCGACCGGTGGTCTTTCCCGAGCGACTCGCAGTCGGGCCCGAGGCGCGGCATGGTCCACAGACCGAGCGCCGCGCCAAGTCCTGGAACCGCTGCATCGGACGCGCCCAGAAAACCGTGGTCGCAGAAGATACCTTGACTGCATGATTCTTTTTTCCATGGCGATGGTTGGTCCAAAAACACCATGATGACATATTAAATCATGCGCCATCTGGCAGTACGGGGGCCGCGCAGGTCGCTCTTAGATTAAATCGTAGCCCGATCATCAGAAAACGGGACCTCCGAAACCATAGCGCAACTCTGACTTCGTATTAAACCCCCTTAGAACCTAAGATGAGCCACGCTTGGCGCTATTTCTGTCGGGGGAGTCCTTGGCACTTAGTAATCGTCGGACCACGTTGCAGTGAAATGTGCCACTCGGCTGAAGCGTCGTCTTTTGCTCGGGACGATGTGGCTGGCCGGCGGCGCGGGGCTGCGTCTGGGGTCTGGGGTGCCCGAACATACTACTCCCTCGCGGCTGCCGGCCGGAATCGGGGCGGCGAGAGAGTGGTTCGCTTGGAGTAGTATGTCTCTCTGCTTATTCGGCTACCAATAATCCATGTGTGGGCCCGCTGGCATTGCGCGCTGGCATATGTAACCAACAAGTTAAGGGCAGTCTAATGGCAGTTTTCGGTACCGTGCCGAGTCTACCTGGAGTAGCCCCTCGCTTAAGTACGCTGCAGCACCAGCGTGCAGCACCCACTTAGACGGCCCTTGCATCAATTGGTTTTGACTTCACAAGAAGTGTTTGCATCTAAAGCTAGCATTCCCACCCAGCTTCCACCCGAAGGGTGTTGGTACTCTCGCCCGACGGGTGTTAGTACACCGTGCTTGGGGTGCCGGCCCGGGGGGATTCATCGTTTACCGAGGACCGTGACTGCTGGGGACGCCAAACCCGACCCAAGAGAGCCCGCTTTGCGATGAAAGGGGTCCGAGGGAACCCACGACGTTCCCGGCTGTCGTGTCTGGTTCAGGGCTTGTCAATAAAACGAGGTATGTCGCTAATAATTTGCCCAAATGACTGGGACGCATTGCTCTGGAATGACTGGGACTCATTATTCTGGAAAGAGACATAGTCCGTTGGTGCGCGAATCTAAAGAGGGATCTTGGGCGCTAGGAATCCAGATGGGACAAGACCGCTTTTACCTGATTTGAGTTGCACGATAGAACTCCATCCATCATCAAATTCTTCGCGGAGTTCGACCTCATCGTCTGTATCAACCCCAATTTGCCACGACAGGTCACTCGCGGAGAAATGATGAAGAGCTCTGTGAGTCCCTCTCCGTGGCGGAATGAGGAGTGGCTGCGAATGCGTTAGAAATGAATCTATTTTGCGATTAATCGGAGCTAGGAAAGCAAGGGGCACTACGCCCTCGTCGCCTCCTGCCTTAACTATCGAGGCCCACCCATCACCATGATCTTCCACAATATGACAGATCTCGTCAAGATCTAACGATACTTGCCAATGCTGAGTGCCATCGGCTTCGAAGGATGAGATGGCAATTCTATGTGACGCATGTGATATTGATTTGCCTGCAGCACACTGCTCCGTGTTGCGTTCAGGACATGACTCCGGCGTGCCCAGAGCGAACGGTGAAAAGCTAGGCGCTGGCTCTGGGGGTGGAGGCAAAACAGAGCCCTTTCTCGTCAAACGCAGTTTCCTTTGACAATCAGAAGCCGATGGGGAGGAGAGGGTTATAGACCTGGACAACGGAACGCAGGGAACGTCGAGCATGGGTCGGCTTGTTGCTAATGTCGGCGCTGATACGACTTCAAAGTACGCAGACGGTAGCATTCCTCTGCGACCTGTGGCATCAAGGCAGGCAGCCCAGCCGTCATCATGTGTCTCAACCACCAAAAACGTATCTCCCGCCTTAGCAGAGAGCTGCCAGGGTTCACTGGAGAGAAAATCAGCGAGACACCTGCGCTCATTGCTATGAGACAAAGGAGCGTCATGTGAAATAACATCTGAAATAACATCAGCAGATGGTCTAGTGAATGAGGTACATGGAGAGGGGGTAATCGGGGATGCCGATGCGGGATTTGACGCTGAGAACACTTCCTGGGAACTGTTACGCCCATGGTTTGCGGGATTTACGCATGGCGGAAATGATTGGTGTGCTGATGACTGGATCAGCGCGGCCTTTGTCAGAAGGCTTGAATTGATGAAAGAGAGATAGAGAGCCATGGTGGGTTGGTCATGGAAGGACAGTGCATCAAAGGAGCAGACTGTATGGCCAAGATTTGCAATGACTTCACCGCTCATCTTGAACTCAGCAACCGTGGAACCAGAGCGTGTTTTGAGTTGCGTCCGACCCAAATCTAGTACCGCGAGCTGCGTGCCGTCTGGTCGTTCGATCATGGCCTCACCATTGCGAGGCTCGGTAACGCAGCCGAGATACTCGCCCTTTGGACTGCCGGCGGTACGTTCGACGTCGTTCAGGTAGCCAACGCAAATGCCATGTACGTCCACGCAGGTGCCATTGGCAGCGATGTACCCCTCATAGTGTCCGTCTCCGTCGCGTACTGCAGAAAGGACCTCGACGCCTGGAGGTGGGTTCATGGGTCGCGTGTTAGACATCCGCGCCCGTTCATCTGCATGCAAAGTACAAAACGCAGCTTGTGCCTCCGGGTAGCTTGCTGCCAGAGACCCCATGAAAACTGACGTTGTTGTGGGATGTGAGCCACCTCGTCCCACTGGGTTGATTTGACGAAACATTGATTGTGACGTACTAGTAGGAGTGATATCTACCTCCGATTCAAGTTTCTCCGCCGGAGGATCCACTGCCAGCGCATGTGGCACAGTGATAGGCGATGGCTTCGCTTCAAAGAGTGATGCCCCGGTGGTCCACTCACTTCCGCCGATGCGCGTAGTGATGGCATCGCTGGCTAGCGGAGGCTGCTTACGATGCGATGGTGATGGAGTACACGCCTCCATAGCAACATGTGGAACTCTGTTCACCAAACCCTCCTGCTTGTGAATCATACCGTGATCCTTCATGAGCATCTGTGCACGCTGTGCCTCGACTGGTGTTAGGTCTTTCCGCTTCATCAGAACCTCGAGCTCCCCGAGAGGGTCGAGCGATCCTAGTTTGAGTGGAGTGACTGCGGTTCGAATCACATTCATCCACTCATCCAACTGATGAGACTGCCGCTCGTCCAATGGACGAAAAATTAATGGGTGCTTTGCAGTCTCCACGCAGACACATGCAACACCAAGCACCTGATAATGTACATGATTTAAGAAAAATGTGGACATGCGGAATACACGGTGCAAGCGCAGAGTGTATCACCACCTGCGCTGATCTCGGCAAGTCTAGTTCTTCGGTAGACTTATCATCCTCCTTGACAGCATCTTCTGCGCCAACTTCAGAGAAGACAAGTTGCGTGCCGTACAGACCGAGTGCTCGTTTCTTCCACTGTGTTGTGATGTAGGGTTTATTTAGTATCGAATTCAAAATTATGTCGCGCCTGGGACGTTGAAAGTGTCGGATTGCGTTTTTTCACGAAAACGACGCCCGCCTTTGAGCAAAAGTCTGTGACATAAAAATAAGATACAAACCTTCGTTGCACGTCCGTAATCGCGTATCAGTTTATTGGGTCTCTCCTTGTTTCCCATCGTCCCTCATCTGTGTTATCCCCTCCGCAGGTGTTTTGGAGACTAGAGCTACGGCAGATTAGCTGGATTAGCTGGACTGCAGGAGAAAGTCGCTTCTTTTACGGACGTGGTCATTGTAAGGAATGAAGGGGGGATGATCAGTAAGATTTAGGGAAGAGAAATTGCTTGGTATGCACAACATGATGGTGGTGATGTTAGAATCCGAGTATGCTAGTATGAAGCTCCAGCATAGTATAGCATGAGCATAGTGATAAAGCGGCGAATATCGCCCTTAGAACGCGAGTGTGATTAAGCACAATCAAAGTGCGCTTGGCGATAAGCCAGCTACCTAGGGAGCCTACATTCCGCCCCATGGGCTATGCTACCATAACTCGGGACTATGCTATCCTCCCTATGCTGGGACGCTCATACTGGCCTATGCTGGCTATGCTCAGTCTGCCTTATACTGGCTATGCTCATGCTGTAATGTGCTGGTGCTTCATGGAAAATCCTCTTCCATATCCATATGCTGCTATTCTTGGCGTGCTCACGTTGTCTGCCTGCTGTATTGCAACATAAGCGCCCCTTTCGTATCGACATAAGACACTGGAGACTTTGAGAATTGAAATTCTATTGTAAATTTATGCGTGCCATTGAGGTGCCTTCCGGCTCTCGCCGGACCGGCCGCGTAGGCCCCACTCGACCCGGCTAATATCCCAGCGCGGCTAGCTTAACGCAGATAGTCCCCACCGCGCGGCTGGCGCCTCAAAGAGTTTTGCTTTCACCCTGCCGGGAAGTCGACCTACGCGTCTCAGGCGTTTCAGAGACCCCAGGCGGGATCTGAGGTAACTATCTTCTGTCCGGGCTCTTTCCCCCCCTCTGAGCTTCAGTCCTCCGGAAGATCCTGCTCTCATGAGAGAAGACATATGACCCGACAGAGAGCGTTGGCCCTAGTGGATTGCACTTCGCACTGGAATCGCTGCACCAACACCCACAATAGAGGATGCAGAGGCAAGAATCACAACTCGAGTGAACTCATCCGTCGAGCCCCGGCGAGCATAATGGGCGTCGGGTCGTCAATGTTGCGTTCGCGAATGGTGTCCCGTACAGGTCTTGGGACCAACGTCGCGTAGCGCCTCGAGATGATTGTGGACGAGTGGATAGCAGGCTTGCACGATGGTCGAGTGATACCGGCTTCCGGTGCCAGAGAGTTGTGCGCTCGTGCCATCGCTTTATTACTGGAGGAAGCAAACGTGGTTATACACCGGCGCCAATGCTGTCGTTGATCTTACGGCATAGAGTAGGTCTGTTTATCTGCGCCCATCACGGTTTGTGGTGATATCCATGGCCAATTCGATGACCTCTTGCGAATATTCCGGATTGGTTCGCCGCCTGAGAACTCTTTTGTGTTCCTAGGAGACTATGTGGATCGAGGGAGCTGCTCAATAGAAGTGTTGCAACTGCTGTTGTGTTACAAGATAAAATATCCAAGTCGAGTGACTTTGCTGCGAGGCAATCACGAATCCCGTTTGATCACGCAAGTTTACGGCTTTTATGATGAATGCATCCTCAAGTATGGTTCTTCACAAATCTGGCATGACTGCTGTGCTGTGTTCGATGCTCTCAGCATTGCCGCTATCGTTAATGACAAGATACTCTGTGTCCATGGTGGGCTTTCACCCTACATCCAAACGATGGCACAGCTTTCATTTCTAGATAGACACCAGGAACTTCCCTGTCAAGGTGCGCTTTGTGATCTCCTTTGGTCCGATCCTATTGATGAAGACAGTGATTGGATCTTATCTACTCGAGGTGCTGGGTATCTTTTTGGTGAGGCAATTACATCAAAGTTCAATGAGCTCAATTGCCTAAGTCTCATCTGCCGCTCGCATCAACTTGTCATGGAGGGATTTAAATTTCATTTTGCTCCGAAATCCATCATCACAATATGGTACTAGTGTCCCACAATTTTCTTGGTTAGTATATTCTCAAGACCTAGGTCAGCACCCAACTACTGTGGTCGTTGTGGTAACGCAGCAGCCATCATTCATCTCGACGCAAGCGACGACTATGGTAGGCTGGTGACTTTTTCTTGAGGTTGGTCGGCATTAACCTCCTGTTGCTGAATTGAGTGCAAAAACAGCAGATAATGCGGGTACAAGTCCCAGGCTGAGCTTTCTGAGTAAGCGCCGCGCAGGTGAGCGAGTGAACCAGGGTGGAGTTGACCTCCTGGCCATCGAAGATCATCCTTACCATCCATGGATGTTAAGGCATGGATGATAAGAGTTGAACATCCCCGCGCAAGACGACTCGCGGAGCCCTGAGGAGGATATCCACATTATCGCCATAAGGTAGCACACTGGGCTTCCCCTCTCTAGCCCCTCTCTCACCCACTACGCCCATCCTGCTTCTGCGGACTGCACCTTAACGTCAAGATAATGTACGGGGCTAAGGGTGACTCCTATATCCGCCCAGCCACCACTGTGGCGGGATAATGGACTAAGGTAACTGGGTGACTCCTAGATCAGCCCAGCCACCACGGCTCAAGTAGCAGGAGCGGCCCCGGGACGCCGGTTCCTGGCGGACTGAGCGTCACGATTAAGCTGGGAGGGCCATAGGAGCCCCTGGCGCGTCCAACTCGTGCGAACACGCGTGTTCGCGCGTCGTGGTGGGCGTCTGGGAGCCGTCGGTTTCGCGGGCCGCGAACACCTCTCGGGTCGAAACGTTGGTTCTTGGCAGTTCGAGATGCCTGGAACGCGTTTCGTGCGTCCTAGCCGATGGATGAAGAGGTGAGAGCCGCACCGCTGCCGGTCGACCGCGTTCCTCGTCGCTGCCTTGACGTCGGCTCGCTCGTTCTCGATTACGACGTTGTGGTTCGACCGAGTGAAACCCGTCGCGCAAGCCCGAGTCGGCGACGCCGACGCCTTCCGAGGCGTTGACGGAGGGTCTCGGCTGGATCTGCGCGCGCACCGTGAGTTCCGGTCGCGTCTGCCGGCAGTGGGCGGTGCACTCGTCGACTCAGCGCGCGAGAGTCCTGATTTCGCAGATAGCCGCGCTCCTCGATCCGCGCGGCGATGCGCGAGTTAGGCGACGTCAATCAGCTCAGAGACGCGACAGAAACAGCCACGGACAGACTGGTGCACCTGCAGAGGCGCCGCACGTCGTGCACGCCGACGCCGCCGCTGGGCCCGGAGAGCGTCTCGGTGCGAGGCCGTGCTTGCCGCTATGAGCGCCGCATTACTCGGTAACTAAAAATACATGGCAGTAATTCCCAGTAGGGCCGCGCGACCCCGTAGAGGAGCCCCCATAGGGCCTGATCTAGGAGTCACCCAACTTGACTCAATCGGATTGGCCTAGCTTGAAGTTGGCAGTGCACCGGGCTTGTATCTCTAGTATGACCCTATTTTACTTACAGCGAGCGACGGTCACTGTCAAACACCAAATTTTTTCAGGAGCTGCGCGCGCGGGGAAGATGACCGAGTTTGAAGGAGCACCCCAGTTCGGGAAGTACGGGCTCGCGCCGAACTTAAAGGATCGCCAATAAAGGGGCGCTGAATACCGGTATATACCCGTCCCATACTCTCGTCGACAGAAAATTGGAGAGATGATTTAATTCGAATCTCACAGCGCTGATGGGAAGCGGCATTTCAGTTAACGATTTTACCTTCCAGGGCAGAATCGGTCACAAGAAAACAGCGCCGACACAGAACCCGTCCGTGGGGTATCCCGTATTCTGGATAAACTTGGATCGCAGCGTAGATCGACGACGGCGCATGCAAAGGGCTCTTGACGGTGCTGGAATTGTGGCAACGCGGATTCCTGCCGTTGACGGTAAGAAATTAGACCCCTTCGAAAAAGTTGATTGCGTAACGCTACCACCACCGACCAAAACTGACTACGCATACCCGAGATTCACTGTGCAAAATATCACCCGAACGCGGGCGCATCGAATGCAGCGTCTTTGGAACTAATGCTCGCCAACCTGCTCACGCGTGCCTGCACAGGCGAGCTCGGCGTCGACCTCTATGTGCCCCGGGACTGACGAATTGCTCACGACGAGAAACTTTTCTTCCAAAAAAAAAAATTACTCAGCGGAAAAGCTGTACCTTGTAGACGGCTCAGCAGATGCAGCGTGCGTCGAGCGTATTATAGATAGATTTTGAGTCTCCCTGGAGTTTAGGTATCAAGCACAGGGACATATTCGCGGACCGGCAACAACTTCAGAACAAGCATGCACAGTTTCGCATGCGCTTGCCCTGGCTCTTGCAGCAAGAGAGCTTCGCCGAAGTTATGATAATCCAGCTGAGCCTTACCGCACCCAGGGAGCATTGATTATAGAGGATGACGTGACCGTGGGGATCGAAAAGCTCCCAAGTTGGCCCGTGACCATCCCATTCATCACAGATTCACTACCAAGTGACTGGGAATATCTCCAACTTTATACGCCAAATCCAAAAGTTGTTCGCGGTCCGCATGGCCTCCTAAGTTCAGATCCACAGTTAGGTGGCACCAATTTGGTATTTCCGGGTAAAATGGCCGGTTTGCGACCTTATGCCATACGCCGGAGCAGTGACTTCCATCGCCCTAAGAATATAGGACGGGCTGGCCTTTAAAAAGTATCTAGTAGGTAGTAAAGTGTTCGGTACCCAGGCCTACGTGGTATCTAGCAAAGGCCTCTTGCGCATCGCTGCCCTCCAAGCACGACGAAAGAAAATGCGGACGTTGCGCCTCGAACACTGGTCTGACGTACGGCTTGTTGCTGACCACTGGCTCCCCTCATTATTTCCTTCGGATGTATCTTATGTCGCCACGGTACCTACCTTCGTCGAAGACCCATGCGTGTCCACGATTGCTCCTGGCGAGAATACTTGGTCCCATGACACGGTGCGCGATATCTACCTCGAGGCGCTGCGCTTTCCTGGCCGTTTCCGTCACGCGGACTGACACCAGCCCCACATGCTCCATGGGGGCTCTTAGAGAGACATGCTCGTGGGGGGGGCTACCCCTGGCCTGGCGGGTGACATACTGACCTTGGCACCGCTTCTGCCGGCGGTGGTAACACCCAGGTGACATTTCAAGTTGCAGCGGAGGGGCTGGGAGCAGCCTGAGGGGTGGGGCACCGGAGGTCATTTGGAGAAGAATGGGGAGGGCCCTGCTTACCTGGCGGCTCGCTGATACAGGGCCGCGCCTGCAGGCCGCCTCTAGGACTGCCTTTCCCTCAGTACCTTCTAAGCCAGGGTGCTCCTGATTCAGCAAGTATCCTCGCTGACGCGGCTGGCAGCTGCTGCTGGAGCAGTGCTGGGTCTAGCAGCAGCCACGGCGACTGCAACTGAGCGCCACATGCATACTGACAGGTTTGACCGCCTCAAATACCCGGCACACAGCGGCGCGCATGGCCGTGCACGATCTTGTCCGACGGCGGGACCCACGGGGCCGTTCTCTCGGGCAAGCCGCACCCAGGCAAGGGGACTGGCGGCGAGTTCATGATCGAGATCGACCAGTAGAAGGCGATCGGCTCGGGCGCCAAGGAAATCTATTTATTTACCGAGTAACCTGGAAGAAGCGTGGCCCCGAGTCTGGAACGACGTCAAACTCAGCCGCCTGCAGAGTGAAGTCGAAATAAAATCCCACATCAACCACCAGGAGGTCAGCGACCACCTCTCGAACGTCGACGTCGTCGCAGAGCGTCTGCATGGGCTCGTTCTCAGGCGACAAGCCGCTAGTGCTCCCCACGTCAGGCCGCACGGTCCAGGTCAAAGACACAGCGACAGGCCAGCAAGTCGAGCGGACGACCGTCGGCATGACTCTTTCGACCAAGCGCCTATTCAGGTAAAATGGGCTGAAACTTGGGCATGTTCGGCCTTGGAGAGGGTGCTGGGCTCTCGGTAAAATAAGGATGATCTATTGCATCACTGGCTGAGATGCGCTTCGTCGGGTCGAGAGAAAAAAGCCCATTTAGGAGATTCAAACCTAAGCCCGTGAGAGGCGTGGCAGTGGTCAAGCCGAAGCCGACAGAAGGAAAAATATCTCGCAATTTGTTGTGCTTCTGGGTCTTCCAGATGAAGCTTTTCACGAACGGCAGCTTCGCATAACCAGGCCATCGTTCTTTCGTCGCCATGCCAAGGACCTTGAAAATTTCTGAGAGTTGCTCAATCTCTGACTTTCCGGCAAAAAGTGGCCTTTTGAGAAGAATTTCAGCGAGGACACATCCAACAGACCAGATATCGAGCTCCGTGGAGTACTCTCTAGCACCAAGGAGTATTTCCGGTGCTCGGTACCACAAAGTGACCACATCGCGTGTATATGGTACGATAGGCTCTCCGAAGCGCCTTGCTAGGCCGAAGTCGCATATAGCAAGCTTACCGCTGTTCGAATAAAGCAAATTTGATGTTTTGATGTCACGATGAATGAACCAGGCCTGGTGCATGTGACGAACGCCCGCCATGAGCTGCACCGCAAGGCATTTAACTTCAGCTTGCGAGAAGGGTCCAATGTGGCGCTCTAAGCACGATTTAAGATCGTGGTCGAAATGCTCCATTACCATATAGATTTTATCGTGCTCGTAACCAACAACCATTTCTTGCACGCGTATTATGTTTTCATGCTGCAGCGCTATGAGAACCTACACATTCCAAGAACATTTCCAGTGAACCTCATCAAGCGCTGCCAGGCGCGTTTGTTTCTCTCAAAGCTGTGACAGGAAATCCGTCCACACACATTTCGCGTGTTAGTTTGACTTTTTTCAAGGCAACAACCTATGCACGACATGTGTCATTGCTTGCTGCTATTTTTGTTGCGTTTGCCTTGCGCGTGTTTAGGTCGCGTGCTCTGTAGACTACACCATAAGACCCCTCTTCGATACCTGCGTTGGCGAACAGATATTAGTGAATGAGCCCGCACATTGTATCATACGGTCCAAGTGCTCAAAGACATCGACGTTTCGGCACCCGCTGATGAGTGGACATCGCAGACGCGACGCGGCTGCAGCGGACATTATAATAGGCGACGCAGGTGGCGGTAAGGGCGCGGTAACTGCCGCCATAACTTCATCCTCCGAGTCGGACGACCATCTGATCTTTAATGTTGCCTTTTGCGGAGGCCTCATACCCGCTTCGCACCCAACGCCGGCCCGACGCCTATAGCGATCAACGAGGTACGTACATCAGATTGTGGCTGACTCAGCCAGGAAGGTTAAAATGCAACAACAATCTTGATATAAGCGAAGCGAGATAAGGCTCATTCTATGACTATGGATTACTGGATAGTAAAATAGTACGGACTGTGTCGATCCGATCGGCACGAACTCGTTATTTCGGGGGCCGCGATGGTATGGCCAACTTCCTTGGCCCATAACTCGGCGAATATGGAGAACTGTACATCGATCCCAGTGGCTGTGTGGCGCGCAAGCTTGAGGTTGAGGCGCGTGCGAAGACGCGACACTCGGACGATTGCGAGGTGAGTCGGGCGCGTTCGACTTCCGCAACTCCTTAATGTCCTTTTTTCGACCGTCGCAGCGTCGGAGATCGCTCCTCATCGGAGTCATCGCGTCCAGCGCGTGTGTATTTTGGTTTTGGTTGCGATCACAGTGCACCTGCTACCATGATAAAGCGGCGAATATCGCCCTTAGAACGCGAGTGTGATTAAGCACAATCAAAGTGCGCTTGGCGATAAGCCAGCTACCTAGGGAGCCTACATTCCGCTCCTTGGGCTATGCTACCCTAACTCGGGACTATGCTATCCTCCCTATGCTGGGACGCTCATACTGGCCTGTGCTGGCTATGCTAAGTCTGCCTTAGACTGGCTATGCTCATGCTATACTATGCTGGTGCTTCATACTAGCATACTCGGATTCTAACAGATCCCGCGGAGTTGCGACCTCGCAAAGTCCCGATTCCTCCCCCGCGCGGGCAAAACGCGGTCGCGGGTACGAGGCGCCCCGGCGAAACGCGGTCGCGGTCGCGGGCCGAACTTAATATCGCCAATAAACGGAAGCATGTGCAACTGGGGGTGTAACCAGAAAATCCTCGAAATGCCCCACGCGTCCGACCCCCCGACGCGCGTTCCGCCGGAGAAAAAAGCGGCGCTCTCGTACCACACCTTCGCCCACTCCGGACGGTTCCGGACGAACCGAGAGTCGTTTTCGAGTTCCAACGCTGCGTTCGTAAGCGGGCTCCTCGTGACAGGCGCAGTCTCGGAGCTCGGCTCGACGACGGCAAAATCCCGGATTTTCAATGCCCCCTGCCCCCCCAAACCAGTTGTCAACACCCCCGTGCGACAGCGCCGAATTTGCCGTTCGCATTTATTGAGCTTCCGGCCTCTGCACGCAGGTGCGCTACTCGTGAACTAGTGTAAGTGCCTCAGCTCGCTGATCATGTCCGTTAGCTGCTGAATAGTTGTTTCTGATACATTCTCACCCATATTCAGCCTCTTGACAACATGGCACTGAGAGGCTCTTGGAATATTGAGAAAAGATTCCACAATGTCACCATCAATGAAATCGTCCATTGGTGCGGCATTACAAGTAGCAACATTATTATGCAGAGCCTGAAAAGTTTCGTGATCAAAATCACCAACCTGCATACATATTAGTAATAATAGGCAAAAAAGCATATGTACACGGGCTTTTACACCGGAGTGAAATTCAAGGAGGACTTTGCTAAGGCGCTCGAGCAAGCTATGTGTCACATCGTCAATAGAAACGATGCAACCGATTGCGCCAGACACCTGATAACGAGCTATCAAGGGAGTCAGTACGAGGACCCTGGAAGAAGTTACGCATCCGAAAATTAATGGCGTGGCTACTTTCGACACTTTTGGGTTACGCCAATCGTCTTGAGTCATTATTGACCCACGTGCAAAACAGGTGACTACGTCACCAAGGTGCATTTTAGCTCGAGATTCAAGAAAATAGCCTTTGTCAGAATTACCATACAAGCTTTCCAGCGCAACAAGACTTCCACTAGCATCAGCAATTATAAATGAGCCATCACCAATCACCTCCAAAGCACACACCCAATTGGTGTTGTAATCACATGCAACCTATAAGTTGTGATCGGCCAAGCCAACTTGAGTGGATTGAGCTCGAAGCGGCTGATATGACTCACCTCAACGATTATCATTTTCTGTCGTATAAGGTTCAACAAGGTCACTGAACGCATCATATCACCAACTACAATAAGGTTGCCATAACATTGTACTTTCAACGCAACAACAAGACCATCATATGAAGCCCTGGGCCTGTACGTGATGGTGGTCAACTCTCGGGTCTAAGCCGTCTTTGGGACGCTTTTGTTTTGCTTGAGATGCCCTCTTCTATTATCTCTGACAACGGGATCGTAAATATGTATTGCGTGATTCACAGCACAAACGAGGAGACTTGCACGCATAGCAGCGACGTCATATACTGCTCCATTTGCCTCTACGAAGAACAAGACAGAAGGAGCAACATTAGCCTGACCGCTCCTGAAGATTATCATACGACCAGAGCATGGTTCGAAATCATTTTCCTGGGCCGCAAATGCTGTCCCCACGACGAAGTGAGCGCGTTGGTCTTTATAAGTACTAATAGAGTCGAGAGAAATGATAGAGCAGCAGAGAGGAATCTCGAGCGGTTCAAGAGCTTCCCGATGCACATCGTTGTATGGTGCCTCATCCCGAAGAAAGCGAATGACCCCTTGGTTGTCACCTTCGCGGTGATCTATCGTACAGACGGCAAAAAGGTGGGATTGGAGGTCATGGCATATACACAGCCTGGACATGTACGCTTCCGGTGACGAATGTTAACAATCCACACATGACCACACGAAACGGACGCCGAGTAACACGGCTGTTCCGCAAGGGGAACAGAAACAACTTTAATGCCTTGATTGGCATCAATTTTGCAAATGGCAAACTGACTCCCGCACGCTAGGATAGCGGTCGTGGCTTTCTTGTGGAGAGGAACAACAATATAGTAGCGCCACTCAGTGGTTTCTCCAAAGGCTTTGGCAGATGCAACGACCCATTGCAGGTGAGATGCACAGCCCCTGCGAACGACACACGCTCGATCTGAGAAACACAGCACCGATCTTGCCATGCGGTCAAAAGCTCCTAGGATGAGCACTCGTGCAGGTAAGACACCCAAGGACACAGCTCTTAATCTAGTAGTGGTAACCACATCATTACCGCATGCAAATTGATATACTGTGACTAGACCATCACCTGATGCGCAAAACAGATATGGCTTTTCGTTTATTTCTGAGAGAACGAGAGCTCGAACAAATTGAAGCGTCTGTTCGTTCGAAGACTTGTCTTGCCATGTGATTGTAGGATCGTGGATTTTATTCAAAATCGAATCATACACAGACACGCACGATACTGGATCAGACCACACTGAGACTGCTGTTGCATGCGCCATACCCAAGTCTTTAAATGAAGCAGAGCCACTAGGACTGAGTGCAACACAACTTGCCTCATCATCAAGTGCTGCTGATGCGATCGGTTCCACATCACAATCTAGGAGCACCTATTTGATTGCTTGATTGCTATGATTCTATAATGCATTGAATAGTGCGCCGTGTATACTAATTTGCCATTTGAGAGTGAAATAAGAATAACCGCGCCGTTGTTTCCAGTCGCTGCAGTGATTCGACCATCTTTGGGCCGCCATGTCTTCAATTTACGGCGATTTTCTCCCGTATAGAATTTAGATATGGCCCTAGGTGTCACTTGCACCGCAGCATCGCCGAGATTGCAACAGTAAATTGTGCTGATAGTCTCATCAAAGCCCTGCGGGTTGCTCGGGAAAGCAGTAGTGGAGCCATCGTTGGCAACTAGAAAGGCGTGGGTCGCAGCTTCCGTAGAGACGATAACCATTTCACCGCGTGAAGACAAAATCAACGACAGATTTGTGATACGAGTAGGACTCCTTGACGCTGTGCCAGTGACATCGAGGCCATCATGAACAATGTGAAGAGTTCCAGCATCTCCAGCGCCACAACAAGCAACGATACGGCCCTGGCCTTCTGCGTCAGCAGGCTCTACAACGCACATTGCCTATTGCAGTCTGGATAGATGTAATGTTTGAGCCCATTCAATGTGTGAAACAATATTGATTCCGTCTCGGAAAAGCAACAACAACTGGACCATGATTTGGAAGTGCATCCAAAGTCTCAAGGCGATCTGAATGCTCATCATTCAGGCCCACTATGAGCTGCGTCAGAACTGAGTGGCCCATTGCAGATCCAACAAACAAGTAGCCACTACGCAAGGCTGCGACACCTGAGCGATGCTGTACGATTGCATGTTGACTAAGGCCACAGTTTCAAAAATTAAATGACTGCCGCACTGCTTCAAACATGATGCGACTGTACTTGCGCGACCAAGAACCCGAAGCCTACATCTGTGCCGACCGAGCTCTAGGCTGTAGACCTAAATCTTCAAGCTTGGACTCGACGCCTCGTGTATTGGCGCAGCAGCTCGAAGGACAAATTCACGTTCATCAACGGCAACCCAGTTGCAGGTGCCTGGCACTGGTGCGACGACGGTGATTTTGGCAGCAGCAACCGCAATTCGACGGAATCCTCTAGCGTGGTCTGCCATTCCTAGAATACTTATTTCTCGACCGCCCATAACGAGCAGTCCACCAACCTAATTGATAAGGACTACGTTCGAAGCTCACTTTTAAACGCAGACTGAAGAACAGGTAGCTTCGGTGCTACACACCAGCACATGTCTGGTTCAACCTGAAGGCAACTCCCAGTAGATGATTCATTGTCGATGAAGGGTTGAATACCTGAAGCCGCCATGGACCTGGCCGCGTGTTTCGGCCAGTAATGTCGATCAGATATCTATGTCAATATATCTGTACTTAACCACAGGCAGAATACTGTGACGCCACAAGAAACGTCAAAATTAGTTTCCTCTTGTCACTGTCATCACCCAGCACAGCAAGGACCTGATAATAGATTGGTCGATATTTCGTCGAGGAGGAGGAGAGAAGTCGCACAGGAAAGTCTTTTTGCTCATCCAGGAAAGCAAGATCAGAGACATGTGTTAGATGAGAGCATTCTTCGAATGCAATTTCTGAATAGCCCGCTGTATCGATTGCCGCAAATTGAAGGAAATTGTCGTACACGCCAAACGCGATACAGCGGCTCTTCGAATCAACAACTGCTCTGGGCGACATAAGCACAGAGCGACCCGAGATTGTCAAATCGGCCCTTGATATCGATAGCAATTTTTCGTCTGCACCCAGGGCCAAAATGTAGAACACGCGTTGTTCCACCAGGACCTAAAAGAGCTAGTATCAGACACTCCACAAAAAATTGCGCAGCTTCCCGCAAGTAGCATGTCGCTTGATCTCTGCAGATTCTCGAATGCAACGATGGCGGCAATACGGCCGTAAACTTGCGAATGGGACTTCTGGGTTAGTCCCCCTGAGGCTACTTCGAACATCGTTAATTCGCATCCTTTCGCAACGATGAGGTAATCACGTGATGACGATGCCAGTGAACATGATACGCAGTGAGTGACAGCTGCTGACGCATGCATCGTCGCCACATAGCGGTGTCGGCGGCGGCTAGTCTGCATCCTACGATGTAACCGCGCGCGGAGCCCAGCGGCGAACCTACGTGACGCACTCTGTGTAGCAGCGACTACGTGCGATAGGAACTTCCGACGGGACGAGCACTTACTAGTGGCTAAGTTATTTATACAAGCACGCGAAACGCGCAAAAACAGCCATTGGGCTAGACGCGCCCATCGAAATACTAGTATTGTTTTCGGTCGCCCGGCGGGAAGTCCCCAGTCCACCGCGCGCGCGCGGGTAACGGCGGAACTCAAATCGAGGCAAAATGGGTGAATTATGGCCCCGGCCAAGCCGCGCCCCCAAGTTAGCGCGCTAAGCGTACCACCTGAGGTGCTTTGAGATGATAAACGGCGACTATCGAGGCCAGAACGCGAGTGTGATTAAGCACAATCAAAGTGCGCTTGGCGATAAGCCAGCTACCTAGGGAGCCTGCATTCTGCTCCTTGGGCTATGCTACCCTAACTCGGGACTATGCTATCCTCCCTATGCTGGGACGCTCATACTGGCCTATGCTGGCTATGCTAAGCCTGCCTTATACTATGCTCATGCTATACTATGCTGGTGCTTCATACTAGCATACTCGGATTCTAACACCGGCACATTCCGGTGTGCCGGCACACCGCGCGCGGTCCGCGGAAACGCGTCTGTGCAAGTTTGGAGCTATAAAAGTAGCGAGTTAGAAGCTAGTTACTTCTTCTGCGCGGGCCCCGGTTTCTCGCAGCATCGGGGGTCAGCATCGAAAGTCGCATATCATCACCCCTATCAATTCCCTCCAGAGGGGCTCTCGGTTGATCGGTCGCCGCCGCCGCCGCCGCCGCCGCCGCCGCCGCCGCCGCCGCCGACCAAACGTGCCGGCACACCGACAAAACGCTATTTCTCGTTGTGCCGGCACACTTCGCTCCGCTAGATCTGCCGGCACACTGTGCCGGCACAAGATACATCCAGCAGGGGGTAGACGCGCGCGGAATTTTTTTTTCGGTCTCTAGCCTCCCTTTAGGTCCCACTCGACCTGACTAATATTCCGGCGCGGCTAGCTCATCGCAGATAGTCCCGACCGCGCGGCTGGCGCCTCAAAAAGTTTTGATTTCCACCCTGACACTGTCCTTGTGTGATCCCCCTAGCGCCGCTCCCTTTTTGCTGCCCCTGTTTCATCCACTTCATCAATAGTGAAGATGCATTAATTAATTAACTTTTTCAAACACCATTGGTTCTTGAATTAATCGATCGACACTAACCCTGATTTCGTGCAGCATTTCGCATGTCGATGTCGATGGACGGACAACTTTCGACACCGCATTTGGCATGTTCCAGTCCACAGGGGGAGAAAACGAGCCTACATCGCCGTAGGAACTCGGGGGCGGAGATTCCCAAACCCCAGTCCGATCCTCCCGGGGACGCGCAGAAGTTGAGATCAGAGCCGCGTCACGAGGGCCCGCCGCAGCTGCCAAGGGGAATCACTATAGGGTCGCCCATGTGCTGCGGACGCGCGACGCGGAGACAGCCCGCAGTGTGGGATCTGCTGTCCGCAATTGGGCGGACGAAAGATCAATCGGCAGCCGTCGAGAGATATGTTTGACGAGACCGGTTGGGGAACTTTTTTGATAACGTGGATGAACCCTGGACCGACATAATATTATCGCCCCTCGACGCGTCGAAATGGCCCGGATCCAGAGGCCCCATTCGCCCCGGAATCGTGCTCGTCTCTCGAAGGCCGCCGGGGCGCCCCGCGGACCGAGCCGCCGAACGCAACCGTCAAAGTCGAGCGCTGCCATCGGATCGACTTCCTAGTGCACTGGAGCCCCTAGAGAACTTTAGGCCTGTGCGTTACAAGTACCCCATCTCCCTATGAGCATTCTCAGCGTCGATGGGGGAACATTGTCAGGTCTTTTTTTTTGGAGCCGGAGCCGGAGCCCGTCACCGCCCAAGCACTTGTTGAGGCCCTTCGCG